AAGTTAGGTGATAGTTTGCAGGGCCGTAGTTCGTAAATGTAAAGACCTGGGCATAATCTACTCAAACCGGTAGAAAGAGCACATATTGGTGCATGCAACGGCTTTTTGAAAACTTCAAATTAATGTTCTTAAGTGTGCCTAAAAGTGCAGGGAAGATATTAATTTTGTTCGATTTACCAAAGTTAGGTGATAGTTTGCAGGGCCGTAGTTCGTAAATGTAAAGACCTGGGCATAATCTACTCAAACCTGTAGAAAGAGCACATATTGGTGCATGCAACGGCTTTTTGAAAACTTCAAATTAATGTTCTTAAGTGTGCCTAAAAGTGCAGGGAAGATATTAATTTTGTTCTATTTACCAAAGTTAAGTGATAGTTTGCAGGGCCGTAGTTCGTAAATGTAAAGACCTGGGCATAATCTACTCAAACCGGTAGAAAGAGCACATATTGGTGCATGCAACGGCTTTCTGAAAACTTCAAATTAATGTTCTTAAGTGTGCCTAAAAGTGCAGGGAAGATATTAATTTTGTTCGATTCACCAAAATTAGATGATAGTTTGCAGGGCCGTAGTTCGTAAATGTAAAGATCTGGGTATAACCTAATCATACCGGTAGAAAGAGCACACATTGGTGCATGCAACGGCTTTTTGAAAGCTTCAAATTAATGTTCTCAAGTGTGCCTAAAAGTCCAGGGAAGATGTCCATTTTGTTCGATTTACCAAAATTAGACGATAGCTTGCAGGGGCGTAGTTCGTAAATGTAAAAATTTGGGTATAACCTATTCAAACCGGTGGAAAGAGCACATATTTGTGCATGCAATTACTTTTTGAAAGCCTTACATTAATGTTCTCAAGTGTGTCCAAAAAGCCATCTATGAAATTAATTTTATTCGATTTACTAAAATTAGATGATAGTATGCAGGGCCCTAGTTCGCGAAGGGCGTAACCTACTCTAACCGGAAGAAAGGGCACATATTGGTGCTTGAAAGCTTCAAATTAATGTTCTTAAGTATGCCTAGAAGGCCTGCGAATTACTTAATTTTGTTCGATTTACCAAAATTAGATGATAGCTCGCAGGACCGTAGCGTGTAAATGTATAGACCTGTGTACGACCTACCTAAACCGCGGGAAAGGGCATATACTGGTACATGCAACGACTTTTTTAAAGCTTCGAAATAATGTTCTTAAGTGTGCCTAAAATTCAGCGAAAATGTTCATTTTGTTCGATTTACTAAAATTTGCAGGGCCCTAGATCGTAAATTTAAAAGGACTGAACATAGACTGTTCGAATCTCTGGAAAGAGCACTTATTGGTGCATGTAACGATTTTTTTAAAGCATCGAAATTATGGCAAAAATATGGATACATTACTTTTGTTCTTAATCAATCTCTATTTTTGATTAAGAGGTATCTTTTTGACTATTATTACTTTGTTATAGTTTTATACTCTCATCATAATTTTTCCAAATAGAGTTATCAGTTTATTTTCTGCATTTTCAACTATAAGCAACTATCTATATCAAAAATATCGTATAAATAATTGTAATGTACAAAACACAAGGTAAAAATGCCCACATTGGAGAAATATACAAAAGAAAGTGAAAAATATTCAATTAGATTAATAGTGTTAAGTGTTGTAAAATCACAATTATGTTCATAGACTGCTTATGTTCCAAATAAAATTATATTATTTTATTAAAATCCAAATATTTAGTTGCTTACACAAGTTGCGACCCGCACTGTAACATTACCCCAGAATGCTTGGAATTTAAAATTAAATACTGCTGGAAGGTTCGTCCTTGATACAGGCAACCCACTTCACTACAGAGTATTCTGAGCATCAGGCTGCAGTAGCACTACTGAATTTGTTTAGTTATTAAACACTCGGCTTTCAAAACCAGAGTTTAAATATTAATAAATTAAATTGTAGAAAGGAAATACAAACCTACGTTCTCTTTGAATTTTTGGGGCAAAATCAGCAAAACGTAGTGGAGCTATAAACCCCAACCGAGCCTTTTTACACAAAATTTCGATAAGAAGTAACATATGCTCATCATCCTATGCATTATGTTCTACCACTTCTTTTGTTAACCATATTGACACCAGATTAATAAAGTGTAATTAATATTAATTCAATTAGGTATTATTACCTGAGATAGCTGTAGACTGTAGCGTTTCATGGTTTACATGTGAAATGCAAACCAAATAGAGAAAGTATCTGAAATCCCATGTCGTTGTCACTAGGGCAGGGCCAAAATAACATCCCAATCTCTCTTATTTGTTAGCCGATCTGTAGAAAAGGATACAAAAATTATTAAATACTTTTAATCAATAACATTTTAAAGATGACTGTTCAAATAATATATGTATTATTGGGCTATAATATTTAATCCTATCACTATTCTTTTGACTTTCAAATTAAACTCATAACAGGTTGTTTATTTTAGTTTTCAAAAAAAAAAAAAATGAAACTGTATTAAGCTAACATTCACACTACCCGAAACAACAGTTCCACATTAATTCTACTGTACTGCTTTTGACATTTTTGAAATGTTATTTAAAATCTGTCTATTGAAAATAAGTTACAAATGTCTAAGAAATAATTGATATTTCTAGGACCTCATCTACTACTTTTAATTATTACTTACCAATATCATGTCATAAATTATTCCTTAAACAATAACACATTGTCTCTCTTCCCAATGCAAAAAAGGCACCTCCATGCTTTCCTCAGAACTGTAGGTACTGCTACCTTGCAGAGTGAAAGAGAAACCAATGTTTCTTTACACATGTCATCCCGTTTTTTAAGCTCCTGTAAAATGAATTATTATGAGAGAGTATTCAGATGTAATTAATTTAGCCTGCCCACTATAAAACGT